ATTTACAGAGAAGCACGTTTCAGGAAGAATAATTTTCTCGGGGAATTTTACGTCGATTTCGTTTTCACATTTACATGATTGAAGAAACAGGAATATGCGACAATACTGTAAATTTACAGGAACGCAAGTTTCAGGAAAAATAATTTTCTCACGAAATTTCAACTGGTAATTGAATTCGATAGTAAATGTCAACTATTATCGTATATTAGCTCGGAAATTCATGTTATTTAATACCTTTCGTTGTATCCTACTTTGAACACAGACGAGGTGTAAAGTATTTAGATCACTCTCATCCAATGCATTTTTCTTTTGTCATACAGATTTGCGTTTCGGGATTCAAGGGTGTATTGACAGCATAGTAACAATGTACACGCACAATCTTGTCCTGATCGTTAACTTTCCGAATTTACTTCCTGAACGTTTAATATCAATCGTTTTGCTCGATGCAGTTCTTAAAATAACCGTTCTTAAGCGTAGAGTGCGCTTCAAAACCAGTGGTTTTCGACGACGTCGGTATTTCAGATCATGTGACAAAAAATCCCATAAGATGATTGGACTACCGTATACTACAGACGAGGTACAGGATAGATCTAACACCACAGACAGAGGCTGTAAAATCAGCAGATCCTCTTTTATTAAATTTGCATATAAAGATACATACATTTATTAGATTGCTTGAGTAGAACTGTTCACGATCTTTTGACAGCAACAGAACACACGCATGTAATGAATCATCTACTAATAAACAATTACGTTACTTTTTTATTTGTAATTTCATAGTTACGTTTAATTCCAATTCCAACCACTACTAATGTTGTAATCTTATTCTACACTGAATCGGTAACGTTGGTAGCGACATGAAAGTGGTAAGCGTCTTCTCACCCCAAAGCCCTGGACAAAATGTTCCATAAGATGCAAAATCTATCCTGTACGTCGTCTGTGCCTATATCTCATCTGTGACACTACATCTCTGTGGGTACAATTATTCAAATATAAAGATTTTTTTAAAAGAATCGAAAATGTTAATACAAACACTATATCTCATGTGTGATATTAATAAATTTGAACAAAGGAAATAAAAAAAATATAGAATTGTACCAATATCAATACGAAAGCACAGAGAGTACTAAAAAAACTTATTTTGTTGAAATGAAATAAATCATAAGCTATTTCTTGGTTTATAAATTTTTTATTTGGTCATTTTCTGTAAGTTATTATTTTCTATTTATTTCAAACTTGTTATTAATAAACAATTACTGTCAGCGCAGCTAAAAGATTATTTAAAATTTGTACTTTTATTCAAATTTATGTAGTTGCTGTGTTTAAAGAAAGAAGTATCTACAATTATGTATAGGGAAAATATTTTATTTACATGAATATTTAACGTGTTCTACACAACCATTATTATTACATAAATAGAATACAAAAATAGAAAACATATTACTATATAGCTTTGGTTTCAAAAGAGATCACTTGTATTTCAATATTGTAAAAATTTTGGGAAATACTTCCGAAGTGTAAAAAAAATACATATAATTTAACATATCCCATGTGAAGGATTAGCTCCATCTGGTTTCATTGTGTATGATTAGTAAATTGAATCCTCTAGATTTTATGAAGTAGTGTATCTCTGTATATGTACTTTATGCCATTGTAATTCGCGCATTTCAATATGTCGATAGATAGCGCTTTAAGAAGATCACGTTGAATTGTTTCTGTAACTCGATAAACAAACAAGGAATATTTGTTATTTAATTAATCAGAAACGTTAATATCTCATAAAAATAAAATTAAAATTTGATTAAATTGGTATTACCATTTAGTTTACATATATTAAAATAAACCTGTATGTTGTGCCTGTATATAAAGAAAACAGTTAACTCGAAGTAGTAACAAAGGGTATGCTTCCTCATGATAAATATCAATCAAGAAAAATCCTACATATCATTAAAAATGCAGAAAGAAGTAAACGACATAGTTAAAAAATCGCTGCAAAAAGCTTATGATCATGATAGAACTGG